CTTGAGCTACCACTGAAGGATATGAGATTTTCATTAAATCTGTGAACGCTACAGGAGATTGGGTTTTAAGCACAGGTATAAGCATTTGACATCAGGAGAATAAGAAGCTCTCACACCAGTAATAACCTCAGATACATGAAGGTACATACTGCACAGAAGCAAGGAGTAAATTAGAATTTCTTGCATAAATGAATCACTGTCTTTAAATACATGCCATCATCGGAAACAATTCAAAAGACACAGACCTGGGAATTTTCAGGTTTTTATTTTATTGTTTTTACATAGCATTTAAGATGATACCTTTATATTGTCATTCTTCCCTTCAAATGCAGAAGCAGAAGATCATAGTTGGAATGGGCAAGCTTGAAATCATCAAGTTTTAAAGCTGACAGAAATTCTTAAGTTGGCTTCTTTAGATGTTAAAAAGTATTGTAAATTAATACCTCCCAAAGAAATTACACTTGAGAAATAACAAATCAGGAATCCTGATAGGCTTAAGAGAGTTGTTGGATCCTTTCATTAAAGTACAGTTTCATAAAGATCAGGTCCAGAAGGGATCACCGTATTGTCTTTGTTGACTTTCTGTATTTCACCAAACATCTGTAACATTTCACCAGGCAGCATATAATAAGCCGAGTAGTTAGGCTACAGTGCTGCCAAACGTACAAGAGTAGCCCACTACAAAGTCCAAGTCCTGTGCAGCAGTAGGAAATTAATTATTGGCAAGATTAGATTCCATGATCCCACCAAGTAATTCATAGGCTGTTACTCATATAAATTCCTTCGCAGTAATCCTATGATCAATTTGATTTTGAGTGCTTGAAGAACACCTAGCAACCAAACGTGTAGGAAAGAATTTCCTACATCACTTCAAACAGCTACAGATGCTATTTGAAAGCCATAAAACATATAGAGCCAGGAAAAATTTAAATTGAAAGGTGAAAGATAAAACAATGGCAGTTTACACCAGCCTAAGTATCTTAGGCAGAGGAAAAATAAGACATGGGAAGATTTCTAATTTAGGGAAACAAAACATTAAAAACTCAAAAAATGTAAGTTAATGTTTCAGTTCTAAATTGAAAGAAAAAAAGAATTCAGATGCATCCTTAATAAAAGAACATAAATAGCTATTGAAACAAGTAAATTATGAAAGGAGTTCCATAACTGTCACTCATATGTTTTTGTTTAAAGGTAAGACAATGTCCAGAAGAAACAAAACACAGTAACACTCACTGAAGTAACGTAACAGGAAAGAATAATATTCTTGATAGTAGGAAACGCTGGGTGACATTTTAACTCTTGATATTAACACCTACTAACAATGTGGGGGGAAATAAAAAAAAAAAATTAACAAAAATAAGAGGAATGTGAAGACAATAAAGATGTAGGAATATCACATCAGGGTAAACAAATACATCCTCAAAAAAAGTTTATGTGAAAATATAATCCTTGCAGTATGACATTAGAAAAAGGGAGAGTCATTGCGCACACCCACTTAGGCTATTCAGGAGGTCGGAAATAATGTAAAGGTGCAGAGGTTGTCTGAAAGAGAGACTTGTAGCCACAGTGACTGACATTAAAAAAAAATCTCCAGCTCAGAGTTGTCTCAACTAGGAAGATTTAATCTCATACACTAATTTTTTAACCTCTCAAGTCATTAAAAAAAAAAAAAAAATTATCTGGATACTAACAGTAATCAACACAGAACCTAAAACAGAGATATTTTTCTTTATTTTTAGAAAATTAAGATTTCTTTCACTTGCTTTGTAAAGTTTATAACCTCTGTTGCTTTTGCACAATCCTTCTTGACCTTCTTGTATGTGTTCTTATACTTCTTTCTTGACCTATATTAGTAAGTACTTCATTATTTCTGTTTTGGGATCCTTCTGCTTTCAACCTCACCAGGACTACTTGCTCACTGTTGTTTTGGCTGAAGTCCCAGAGAAATAACAACTCCCTTGAGAACAGCTGCACAGAATTCAAGAAGAAAAAGGTGCTCATGGGAGTATTCAACCTGGTTTCCCAACATAGTTGCACATAGTTCACGACTATTTTCCAAACAGTAAAATGGAACTGAGATACAGATGGCCTAAATGAAGAGCAAGAAAGCAATCTGTTCCAAAACAAGAATTTCCTTAGCTTATGCTCGTTTGCTTTTTTTTTTTTTTATTTTTTCTCCCCCCTCTCTTCTTTTCTTCTCCCCTCTCCCAAATGCTGCAGAAGTGTCTCTGAACTTAGGATGACATCCTAAAAGGACTTGCTTGGCTTTCTATTTAGTATTTCCCCAAGTGTCTCACTAAGTTTTCCTGATCAAATACAGAGCTCTGAATTTACTTTAAAAATAAATAAATAAATAAATAAATAAGAAATCCACATTTTAAAAAAGGGAATCCACATTAAATAGAAATCAACTATGGCGGCATATTTTACTACTTCACTTAGAATGGGTTCAATTCCTTTTAGACAACGATAAGTTTGCCATAAAAATACTGACTGTCCCCAACCTATACGTTCAGGTCACATTTATCAGAAACTTTATGCTTGAAATCAACTGACAAAACTAAAAGTGAAGTAAGAGAAGACAGTCATCTTCATGTTCCCATTTACCTAACACATTGGTGGTAAAACGATAATAGAGGAACCATTACCAAAATCATTACTACCTTCTTCATGATTTGTGAATCAAGTCCTACACATTTTGTTTTCTTTACAAAGCCTAAAAATGAAATGTTTTATTTCAGGTTTGAATGAAATACTTAGTACCAAACAAAGGGATTTTTTTTTAATTTTTCATCTCAGTTAAAATACTCCATGACTGTTTGGTTTAATCTAAATCACACCTCACCTTCTCCTCAATTTCTTGTCATTGAATCTGTACTTGACTACCGAATTAAAGGAGGAAGAGAAGAAGAAAGAAAAGAAAAGAAAAAAAAATGACCTATGCAATAAGCCTCCCTGAAAAAAAGACCACAGACCAGAAATAATTCTTACATTACAATTTTATTTTACATTTTTTATTTTTAAAAGAGAAAAAAAACCCCTACTTTTTTTCAAATGTCATGAGCCTTTTTTCCATATGCTATTTTGACTTTTTTAAATGCTAAAATCCCTTGACTAACAATGAGATATCTGATTCTCTCTCAAGGTACTGAATCCTTTTCTTCCTACATTCTGCCTTCACATTGCTTCTGTCTTCTCTCCCCTTCCTTCACTCTTTTGCTCCTAATTATCTATTAGATTAGCATAATTTGGTTTTCATTCATTTTTTTTGTTTCCACAAGATTGCTCTTAATAAAAAGCAGCCAGTGCCCTATTAATGACAGAAGCATAGGGCATCTCCTTCACTTCTACTCTCCTTCATTTATTTATTTATTCTTCTACAACTTAACATTTCCTTTCCATAGATACCCCCTCACTCACTTTCTATAATAGTTTCAAGAACAACATACTCTCCTGAAATATCTCCCACATCCCAAATTGGCTTCCCTTTCTTACATTCCATATGCCTCTTCCAAGCTTGCATTTTGGGTCAGTACTCCTTTTCCTATTATATTCCTATTCTACTTCTAAATAATTTTGTTAGTTCTCATAGCTTCAAATACTTTATTCTTTTCTGCTCATTCTGTAGTCTCAAAAACATTTTATATATATATATATATATATATATACACATATATATATAAAAAATATAAAAAACAGATTCCCTTTAGCTGCTCTTGCTATTCTTCATTAGAGTTCTCTCAGTCAACCTCTTTTGTGAGCATTTATTGTACAGCATGTTTTACAATTTACAAATCCCCCAATACCATATCGAACTGATTTAATGCCTTGTATTGAGAACCTTACAACCTGAAGAGAAGCCATAGGATTAATTCCTTGCCTTCAAATACATGAATAGAAAAATACTCCAACTTTCAAAACAGTAGACACCATGTCACAACAATCTACTATGATATAAGATGTTTTTAATTGTACCAATCTGTCAACATACATTTGGGCTTCTCTGCTTGATGATATGTACTGTCTTTTGCTGGTTGTGTCATTCTTGCTTATATTGTGATGTGATATGTTGCAAAATAAAGGCTTGGCACACTTTGCCCAACATTCTTTTTAAACATACAACTTGAAGTGTTTGAAGTACATAGTGTTTGTTTACAAATTATTACAATATTACAATGTTTAAGGTCACTTAAACTCAGGTTAAACACTGTGATATTCAGTTTTTAATCAGTAAAACAGAGATGACTAATCAATACTCTGGAAGCATAACATGGCAGAAAGCTGAAGTTGTATACAGAGTCATTTCTGGATCACCTTTTTTTTTTTAATTAGTTCATGATTATTTGGATTGGTACAGAGATCACTCATTTTCAAAGGAAAAAAGGAGGAGGAAATCAAAGGTATTAAATTTTACAGGAAGGGGACTTGGTTTTAAGTTAAGTTTGTTCTATTGTACTTTTTTAGATTTTTAAGAAAGTGGACTAATTGTTTCTTTATTCATCTTGATAATCCCAGGTAGAGTTCTACTTAATAAAAATAAAACTCTTCTGCTTGTTACCTTGCTTTCCCACTACATGTCTGCACACTGAGCCTTGTAATAAACAAGATAAACATAAAGACATTGGTTTACTTTTCATTTAGTCCACAGGCACCTAAATCTTTAAAAATTTGTATACACAAAAAAAAATGTGTTTTTAAAATATTTACTAACCAAACTAACCAAAAAGGAAACTAAACACAGTATGAAACATTGATTTGTTTCTTTTCCTTTAAATCAAAAAGGCATGAAGAGAATCAGAGCATATACAGGTATACATAACTCAGCACTACGTTACTTGGCAATGAGGTTTTAACAGACAAGAAATAGTTTGCACGTAACTTGCTTGCCCCAGCCATAAGCCATGCCCAAATTTGAAATAAAGGCAATAGCTGTCTCAGCAAGATAGCCTGTCGCTGTTATATGAAGTTGATCTATGAAGTCATTTTCTTAGAATACTTACCACTAAATCCCAGTTATTTTGTTCAAGCAACGTTATAGCTTCATCAATATTTTCGATACCAGTACATGCCTAAAAAGAAAAAGAAGCAATAAACTGAATTAAAAGCATTGATCTCAATCAGAATATTGATACTTAAAATTCAATTAATTCCCCTAGGATGACATGAAAGGTATAGGTCTTTTATCTCTGTTAAAAAAGGATGAGCTAGAACTCAGACTTCCAGTTTTAAGCATCAGATTCCAGGATACAATGCCCTATTCTACCAGAGAATTTCTGTGAAACCTTGAGGAAGACAGTTAGGAAGCAAGACAAAGCAGTTATCTGTAAAATCAGGACAATAGGGTTGTTCCTCAGATTTTTTTTTTTTTTGAGAATTCTACATTCAAAATTAAGAAACGCTCATACCACCTTGAAACGGATCATTTAAATACTTAAAATGCTAAGTTTGAGATGGCTGAAATACTTTGTGTAAAATGAGAAACACTTCTAAAGAAGCTCTACTGCTTCCACCACCATCTTATACCTCTACACTCTGTGTTACACAGGGCAGTATAAGAGGTGAAGAAGAGCGTAAGTATGACTTTCTGATCTACACGAGTGCCAACTGACTACTGCAAACACAACTGAGCACCCTTGTAAAACTATTTAAAATGAAGACTATACCGTGAATCATTTAAAGTGTTTTCCTTTTAGGAAAAAAGGCTTGCACGCTGCTCTAGCCCTACACTTCACCTTCACCAGGGTTAAGAAATCTAACACAAAAGCATTTTTAAAGTAGGGATAACATCCAACAAAAAGGTATTGTCAGTTTAGATTAATTGCAACTCCAAGAGAGCACCCCTACTCAACTGAAACCTTGATCCAGCATCTTGCTTGCTTTTTTTGATATCCATCATCCAGCAATTCAACAGGCAGAGCATTGCTCCTCACTTTGCCACTTAGTTGCTACCACTCGCATAGAAGGATATCAGATACACTTCACCAGATGGGAAAAACGGATACAGTTCAGTTTCTTTCTGGAACTGATCTTCAGTCACAGTCAAAGCCACGCTCTGTATTCACACGCACACAATACCCGTTCAGACTTTTACAAATTCTGAAGCGTGATCATATTCCTTTTGTTCCACCACAAAGTCATATAAAAAGAGTTTAGTTTATATAAAACTACATAAAAGCCATCAAACTTTTTTAATAGCAACACCACAGAGCTAGATAGCAGCAAACGTATCTTTGGAGTCAAGAAAGCTTATTTAGTAGTGTTTTTCTTTCATGTTATAAAGGAGAAAAAGGGGTGAGAGGGGAGAGACAGAAACAGACACACTTTTTACTCACCCCTTGAAGAAATAAAAAACAGTCAGCTCATACATTTTCCATGATAGGTCTTATTTTTCTCCTGTTTCTTACATTTGTTATTGTAAATGGGAAGTAGAAAAGGAAATCACAAAGAGCTTCATAGCCAGTTCCCTCTTCCCAAATTCTACGCTGAAGTTTTCCACACTTAAAAAGCATTACATGCACTATGTCTAGATAAAATACATTGGTCTGGAGGACCACGAGTGATCACAAGACAACACTTGAGAGATTTTGCCTGTGGAGGGTAGGCAGCTGTTGGTCCATAAGGCTGTTACGGCCACACTCATTCTCTCTGGTACATAACAAAATTTCTTCCTCTGCTCAGCATGCTGTGCTAATACAGCATTTTACCCACTTTGCATCTGGAGTGTTAAAAAGAGGTTAAAGAAAAATGAATGCTTTCCTTTGAGGTAACACTTTGCCTTCTCTTCTGTTATTTATTTTGGGCAGTTGCTTCCGAGGTTAAAAGTAAGACAATACTTCAATGCACTCCCTAGCAAATCAAAAGCTTATATACTCATGGCAGGAAGGACCGAGGAGTGCAGAACATGAGACTGTCATTTTTGAAGTTATAGTAGGATTCATTCTATCATAAAGTTACAATAGAAACAGTGGCTTGGAGAGATGTATAGAAAGAGAGACTGTGCTTGAAAGCATGGCTTCTTCTATTTTTGTTTTTGCTCAGGACAGCATTTTAAAGACTGTCTCTTCTAGGCTACATTAAAAAAATTAGACCAAATTTTCAAGGTGAAATTTAGGTAACAAATTATTATTTGGCAATGAATGAATTCTGTAACCACAAATTCTGTTAAGCCCCAGACACAGACAGACTCCTACTACGACTGTTCATACTAACTGGTTTTGAATATCCATAATCTGCTGGGAGCAGGGATCACTGAACTTTGCTTTCTTTATAGTTCTGTTCATTTACATGCACACAGCTTGTCCTTCTTCCTTACCATGAAAAGCATGCTTTCAAATATAAGCTGCATCTCCTGGTTCTAGGATAAGTTGTTGTTTATGATAAGCGTTCTATAGTCAGGAAAAGCCTGAATATCCATCACTACTTGTATCTTGATTTTTTTCCCCCAAGGGTTTCTTGCCAGGAATGATGCAGAAGTTCTACCTGTTATCTTGGGAAAGGCCAGATACCATAAGATGGGACAAATCCTCTTGTGGAATTTATACCGAAACAGATTTTAGAAAGCTCATAGTCTACCTCCTTGCTCACACAGTCATATGAAGTGACAAAGAAAGGCTACGAAGAACCCAAAGAGTGACCTTGAGAAGACAGAGCACAGAAGATATTCCTCCAGCAGATATGGGACAGAAGTGAAGACGTGAAAGCGTCTCTTCAACAAAAACTACACATTAGGGTCCACTGCAATTGGCAAACTTGCCTAAGCCTGCTAGCTCACTCTCCTCAACTCCTGTACAAGGTAAGAATTAATAAAAGTTTTCATCTGAGGTCTCATTTGGGAAGTCTTTCAAGTTGGAAGGAGGTTGCTAAAACAACCTGAAAAGCCTATAAACCCTTGCTTGGCCAGAAGAGATTTGGCAGTTTCCTACATGTTGCTCAAAGACTTCTTTTATTGAAGACTCCTGTTGTTTGGCCTGCTTACCTTGAAGAGGAGGCCTCATGAGAAATTAAGATGAGGGAAGGACAGTGAAAAGTCCAGAAGCTCCTGTGTATATATATGTTCTCCCAGTGTGGCTTCTCACAAAGATTAAAACAAAAACACACACACAGAGAAGTAGGGAAAAAGGTGTAAGATAACAAAGTTATATCTAAGAAGGAATCTTATAATCAAAGTTAGAAAGCAAATGCAGATAAAGAGTACAGTATCGGTCATCAGTATGTGCTTCCCAACATACAGAAGCAAGCCAGGAAATTTATCTAGACTCCCTGCTTGAACTGTTTCCATTCTAAAGTTCTAAAGCAGAAACAAAGCGTTCCCTCAGTACTACAAGGAAAAGAAAACAAGAATGAGAAAAAGAATACATACACAATAATTAGGCCATTTGTAATTTAAAATTCATTTTTTAAAGTAGGATTATTTGCTATAGTATCTGAATTTATCTCACCTACTGACATAGTAAATATTCATATATATTCATATGCAAATATTCATATGCAACTAAAGTAACTCTTTACAATTTGAAAAAAACTGTTAAAAATGTATTATTTAAATTGAGTATTTTTATTTAAAATGAGTATTTTCTAAAGTGAGTGTAATATGTAAACAATTGGATTGTCCTATGTTGTAAGTCCATAAAGGATTTAGTAATTCATTACAAAAAAAAAAAAAGTTCCCTACCACAGTTTGTTTAAATAGTTTCTTCAGTGGAAAACATTAGATGTTCAGCACTTGAAAGTCTAACCACCTTCTGAAGAAATGGTAAGATATTGACAACTGCCAGAATACATTCCAACTCTGAAAAAGCTTTGCAAAAGTGACAGCTTGAGGTTCTATTTACAGTGAAGTGAAATACACTTAAAATCTGGTTTCATAGAAATAAAAAGTTACTATTTGTAATTTATCAGCCCTGTAAGCTATACGTGACCTTTTTAACAACTGTGTTCCAACCCGCAGGCCTCCTCCAATAAGAATTCCTATATTTTGAGCTAAGCTAAATGAAATTGGCTTACCTTTCTCTCAGACTAAAAGCACACAGTGAAAGGAGTAACCTCATTTGAGGGTAAAGTAAATAAGCAAACTAGTTCACTAGTCCTCATCCTTCATAAATCATTTTGTTGGCGATTTACAATCTAAAATAGAATCCTACTCATTCTCTCTTAGCAATGCAGAGTCATTAGGGTAACAGTTGTACACAGTACAACTGTTTACTGTTGTATAATAACTGATACTAAACTGACTACTGTTGTAATCAGTTTAGTACTGTTTACTGTTGTAAACAGTAACTAAAAAAAGTTTTAATATTCAGGAAAGCAGTTTTGATGAATAACCTTACACCATTTTTTACAGTTACTTTTTGACAACTAGCAAAAATAGCCAACAAAACATTTCTGAATGACAATGAATGAACGAACGAACATTACCTATCAATGTAGCAACAAAACAGACATTTTGTTTAAGATTTTTCTCAATATGCTCATATGAGTCTTAGTTGTAGCAGACTAACACTTCAGAATATTTCAACATTAAGAAGCAGAACTAATTTGGATACTGCAAACTGTCACACACAAATCCCTATCTCAAATCATGACCCATCACTGGTCTAAACATAAATAAAACAGCAATCAAAAGGTTTGTTTCCTTTTAAGTGTATAGCAAATAAGATAGACCAAAAAAAAAAAAAAACAATAACAACGTGGTTTGCACCTCATTTACTTTCCTCTAAGAAAGTAAGCACTCAAGGTAGCTCCAGGTCTCTCAAAGACTTCTGGAGCAGTAGAGCAGTCACACAACCACCCAGTCTACTCAGACCCTCATTTTCTTTAGGGAGACACATACAGGAAACAAGTAGGTTCTGTGAGCAACAAAACTAATAAAGCCTGGCTTGCGATGGGTTTGTGTCTCATCCCTGACTGCAAGTGCTGATTTAAGCTATGGTTGGGCTTCTTCCTTAATGGTCTTCTTTCCATGTTACCTGGCTCTACTTTCATGAAATTTAGAAGAATTTAACTGGTACGAGTCCATAGGTTCAAAAGCTACTGGTGAGGAGACCGGGGCACCATAATCATATATACTTTG